GATCACTTTGTGGTCTTAACAGACATACTACGAGTATGACCTTTGACCTCTTCGTACAGTAAATGGATCCTGTTCTGCTGCTGCGCTCAGCTGAACGTCTGGCAGCCACTGAAGACGACAGGTTAGGGTTTGGCAGAGCTCAGATAATTTATTCTCTTATTTACACTTGGGGTCAGAGGGCAGTAGACATGAATTTCAACATTGTCCAAAACTTGATTGGCACTCGATCGTGATTCATGAATGAACAACCCAGACCAAACCTGGAACGGAGAGCAGAATCCAGTCATAGAACAGAAGTCCATCCAAGAACCTGTTCCCACTGAGAAAATGTGTTCTCATTAGATATATTATCTGTCTGTGCATGACCTGCACAGCCCAGATTGACCACCTCTGGATAATCGGAGGTCAAAGTCCGTGCGTCTCCTCAAACAGAAACCTCTCTGGTGGAACCACACTTTTAAAAACAAAATCCACTGCAGGGTCTCATGCTTTAACAAACCATGTGTCAGTCAGCAACAGAAACAGGGCATGTGAATGACAATATATTATGTTTCTCTAGAGGTCACTGTTCGAAGGAGAGTATAATAAAAACATGTTTATTTCTGATGTACAAAGGCGCACAGACCCTCCTCGCCCAGAAAATGCTCCCAGCCAGGAGCGTGTACCGCATCACAAAGACCCCCAGCAAAACCATTAGCCAGACTCTGTTCCTCCATTCTCTCAGCCTCGCAAAGCCCGCAAGGAGCTGCAGAAGGAGAAGAGTTGTGGTGAATTGAAGAGGTCGGCACATTACAAGTGGGCAGGAGGAGCCCGTCGGAGCTTAACAGCAGCAGAACTGACAAGTTGATAGCTGTGTTTTACCTGTCAGCGGTGCTGCACCGTCTGTCTGACAGAAAAGTATGCATCCTTAGAAAGTCATTTCATCTTTTCCTCAGATCGATTAAATATTAAAACACTACTGTGATACCTCACATTTAATATATTCAAAATACAGTGAGCTGGAAGCAGTAGAACCAAAACAATTGCATATATAAAATACTGATTCAAAAACATGACATTCTTTTTTTGCTTTTCTTTGTCATCCATGAGAGTAAGAGAATATTCTGGGGATTTGGACTGTTGGTTTAACAAAATACTAACGAAGAGAATTAGTCATGTTGAGAACTGGTGATTACACAATCCTCACATTTAATACAAAGGCTATTCACTAATTAAGTGAAAAAATGAGCACATAGGTCAATAATAAAAATCTTCAGCTGCAGCACTGAGCTTAAAGATGCCCTCCAGTGACAGAAAATAATACCCTTGCGTCATATGAAAATATAAAAAAAGTGACCTTCAAAGTGCATCCTGATAGCACAGCAGCATTGTTTTCCAATGTGGTATAGTATTGTTCATGTAGTTTTGAAAAGTCTTACTTGTCACTCCCTGCCCTAGGATTCAGCGGAAAGGTGCTTCATGTCACGCCTGTGTGCTTTGGGTTTCACTCCAAGCCCACACCACCACAGCGCCGACTGGGTGATGTTTCCACTGCATTTCAGCTGGGCACACAAAACACTTCGTGCCATCTATGCAGACTTGAATCAACATCTCTGTGCAGCATATAAATAAAAGTCCAATGTAGAAACAGCACTGACTAATATATTGGACATGGCTTGTAAAGGCTGGATTCAATTCCAAAAGATGACGATGGTGAACGGTCTCTGCCAACACTTTAAACACGTTAAAAGACGAAATGAAAGTGTAGCACAGCATGTTAGAGATTCAACATCAGACCTGCTGCACTCCACTTACAGTAGGAATGCTTCCCCACCCTGGCTGCTATAGTACAGAACAAGCAGCACGCAGTCACGGAGCTCAGCAAGGAAAACACAGAAAGGGACATTTTTACTCAAAGACCACAACTGGGGATGACGCCGTCTCATCTGTCTAATTCAAACTGCTGAAATCTAATGACGGGGTGCTGGAGAACACCCACATGTCACTGCAGCAGCGGTAGTCACCGAGCCACTGGAGATCAGCAAAACCAGACTTTGTTAAAAGTTCATCTTTACATTTACTACCACATAAGAAAGAAAAACTGCCAACACTGAAAAACGAGGGGAATTTTCTAGCATTGTTTCAGCTCTATTCTGGAGTATGTTAAACAAATGCTAAACTACAGGAGTGATCCTTTAAGGAAGCAGCTGCAAGCATCAGTCCAGGTTCGTTTTGTCTCCGACTATAAGATATCTTGGATGTTGACATCAGTCTTCTACTCAGAGGATGGAGGCCTTTTCAGGAGCCTCCTGGTGAACGGCTCCACTGCCACCTGAGCTGCATGACACCGTGACACTCCACACAGTAGCTGCACTACATCTGATGCACGACACCTCATACAACTGCCTCACCTGCCAGGAAATGCCCACAGACGGCGACTGCAACAAGAAAAACACACAGCGCTACTGCTGTGGCTAAAATGCAACACACTGTACCCGCGTATTTAGGATGATGGGTGACCTGTGGGGTCAGGGTGGAGGGTGTCGATCAGGGGTTGTTCAGAAGCGTGACCTTGACGAGTGTTTGGCGCCGGCCAGTGAAACGCTTTTCAACGTGGGCGAAACCCAGAGAATGGAAGGGGATGTGCTGAAAGTCAAACGTCTTATTTCTTTTAACCGCAGGACTTCCCTCTATCCTTCCAACCCTCCCACTGCCGCCGCCACACACACACACACACGTACACATATATATTCATTCACCCTCACAATGATAGCTATGTAAACACATACATAAACACATACACACTTTCGACTCCCCCGCAGCACAACTGTTCATGAGTGGAAAAGGAATCTGGTATTTACACGTACAGCCAGATTATGATTACAGCATGAGCGCTCTCAAGGCTACAGAGAGGAGGCTGCCAGGCGAACATCCTCAGGAGAAAGAGGAGCAGATAGGCCCAGTTTTGTTGATGTGATAAAATGATCTCCAGCAACGTCAAAAGATTAGAGAGTAAACAAAATGTTCCTAACAAAAAAATATTAAAACGCTACAGTAATATTGTATCAAAGTGTGGAGGAGGTTCCTGTAGGAACATTATAGAAAAACAACTCCTATTAACGTCACTTTTAGTTTAGACGCAGAGTCCATGCATGAATCTGGGAATGTTAATGTTTTTGTTTGCCTGCTGTTCTGTGCTCTGCAACCTTTTTAATATTTTTGGATGCATCAACTGCAGAGAAAGACACAGTATGATTTAGTGCACAAACTGACTGCAGAACAGCTGGGGGGTGAAATTTTAATATGTTGGTTTTTTTTTTTTTGGGTTGAACTGAGGTTCCTTTGGTTCAAACTAGATTTTCAAACATATCCATTTCAGGGTCTTCGGTTTTTCCCATCCTTTAACAGTAAGATTCTGATGCTTAGAGATCACAGAGTAAAACTGGGCCTCAGCCTTTAGGGCCAATATTTGTCTGATCCTTCCAACACATGCGTCCACTAGGCAAGTTGAACAATCAAGTGTAATAAAAACAAAAATTAAATGAAGTTGTTTTGCTGCTGCCTTGATTCCACTTACAAGTCTGGACTTTCTCTGAGGACAGAAGTTGCCACCATATAAAGGAAGGAGAGCAGTCAGACCAATAACTAATGTCTCCATTGTCTCTGTCAGAGGAACAAGGGAAGCCACAGAAACACTCAACTGATGGCAAGCCAAGGAATCAGCCCGTAGGAAACCAAGCTTCCCTCCTTTTTGCACATGCACCAATTTTTATACAATAACTATGTATAAATATAATATGTATTTTAAGGCCGCATGGGAAAGAAGTGCTTCCCACTCCATCTGCTGACAAGGATGGGGGGGTTTGAATGAAAGCTGCCGAACAGCTCTGACATTTTGTCTTTCGTCTCTGCAGAGGCTCATAGCGGCTGTTGGTCACGAGATAACAGCAAAAAGCTAAACGTTTCCCCCATTTGCTCTGCCCCCACAGCAATAAAGTTTTTTTTAAAACGCAGCAGTTCAACAGCTATAAAATTCACTCTGACTTTAACTTAACACCCACGGGTTGGTTCAAGTTAGTGGAACGGCACACCTGCCCTGCAGTGTAGGAAACTACCAGGTGTTGTTCCATCAACAAGCCAGAATCATTAACCGGATTAATTGAGTGGTGGACTCCAGGAGCTACTGAGAAAACTGATTCTCATCAGTGGAATCAATCAGTCAGTCCGTGAAGAAGTGGAGCGAAGCTGCACCTGTCAGACTGGGAACGACTGGACACTTCTACTCGGAAATCACCGCGGCCTCACTAGTTTTGTTCCTCCTAAAGGAAAACTTAGAAATTAAAACATATGATCTCACGTCACAAACCTGTCAGCCGATGATCAGCCGCTGCAGTTGTGTCTGTGTTCAGTGGCTTCCAGTCAATGAAGGCAGAAAAAAACAGAACGCGTAAAAGTGGAACTACAAACGGACATCACACGGACCCGGCGCGTACTCCTCTGCGGTAGTCCTCCACGAACTCCTTCACATCTGGCATGGCATCAATACTTCCCCCTCGAAGCACCAGGTTTGAGGTTTGATTTGGAGACGTCAGTGACACGCCTCGTTGGAGAGCTGCCCGGCAGAGCTGCGCACAGGAGGAGGAGGAGGAGGAGGAGGAGGAAGGGGGGGGAGGCTCGGAAGCTTGACTGGAATGCGCTGAAAAAAAAAAAACCAGAACAAAATAACGTGCGTATGTGAGTTTTAGTTTTCTTCACTGAGGTGTAATAAAATAACTTGGTTTTAGTTTTCGGACTCCAGACGTGTATGATCTGCATCCTTCATTTACTGATGATGGAACACACTGTTTAATAAGAAGAACAGGAGGCCAAAGGGGCCACCACCAACAACAAGATGATATGATATGCTATTATATATATATATATATTAAATTATGGGGCAGCACAGTGGAGCGGTGGTTAGCGCTGTGGCTTTATAGCAAAAAGGTTTCAGGTTCGAGTCCGGGCCTTTCTATGTGGAGTGTGTGCATTAGTCCAGTTTGTTTTTTTTTTAGTAAAATGCATCATTGACACAGTTTTTCTAATCTGATCCAAGGGCATTATGGCAGAGGGCATTATGGTTTGTGATATTGGGCTATAGAAGTAAAATCTGACTTGAACGGTCCCTGTTACACCACATATCTAGATATTTAATGACTGCACCTACTTGTGGTTTTGTGCAGTGCAACCAGTGGCACCATAGTGATCATTTCTTTTCACTTAGAACTAAAGTGGTGTCCAGAAGGTAAATTTAGCATTAGAGCAGCACAAAACTACACCAGACCGGGTACATTCTTTAGTTTTCTGATTAATCCCTTTTGTCGGTTTGTCTGCTATTTGTATTCCACTGACATAATTTAACTCAAGGGGATCAGGGAAGTCACCTGGTTTTATCATGTTTGACAGTTTCATTTGAATCTTACGCTGTGTTCAAGAACACACAGGAAATTACAGCTTCCTGCTTGACTGTTTAATGCACATTACTTCACTTTTGCCTTTGTAGGAAAGAAGCTAAATGTGCTGAAGTTCCTGTGTGGAAAAGGAAGCTTCAGCATAGCAACAAGTCAGTTTACTGCTTCCACTCGGTGTCACTGTACTGGATCACGTAATGTTGTGTGTGTTCTTCTGGCTGCATTTTTAATTACATTCACATAAAACTCCATAAACTCCTGACTCTCCCTAACTAGTTTCTCTACTGCTTTCCTTTCTCAGTAACATCACTTTTCCTCCTAATGTTCTTCCTTACAAATGGCCTTAGACCGGCTGACTTTGTGAACATGAACCCACTGTCTGGAGTTTCACCGATTCCACGTTTGACAGTTTGTCTCTCTGCTGCCACTTACAACAGAACCTGGAGCAGCTTCAGCTCTGAGAACAGAAACAAAAATGCCTTCTAAAGTTTGTTTTACAGCCCCAAATCAGAAAAAGTTGGGACGGTGTGTAAAATCACAATTAAAACAAAAACCAGTGATGTGTAAACCATCTGTGTCCTTTTTGATTTTTAAACAAAGAATAAAGTTGATGATGTGTCACATCAACTAATGTGCTGCTGTTTTCAGTGTAACTCAGTGTTTGATTTGACTCAGTGACCAGTGTCAAGCTGATTCCAGACCAAGATTTTATTTTCCAAACCTTCTGTTGTTTGGGAAAGCAGCACTTTCTCAGGCTGTAAAACTGTTCATTTGCCACCGAAGTACTTAATTTACCAACTAACCAATTAAAGTTAGCGTAATTATTTTCACTTTCTGTTGGCGTTGCTTTATAAACAGTGGAGACGTGACTAGAATAAAGGTTTTCAGTGACAGTGATGTGGCACTAAACCGCTCTGTCTGGGCAGGGTTCACAGCCCTCACCTGCTCTTTTGATTTGATTTCCACCTCTGATTTAAAATTTCTAAAGGCGTCTCAGCAGCTATAAGGTCACACTGCTTTATTCCAGCTCTCTTCTCTGGTAACATTGTCGAGATTTTTGTGTTTGATTCTCTCCATACTCTGCCTGCAGCTAAGGCGGTCTGCAGGTCCAGGGCTGAAATGAGAGGAGTTAACCGAGCTGAACTTGTTTGACATTTTAAAAATAGTTTCTAAGGCCATTAGGAAGAACTGAAAGGGTAAGTCAGACAGAGTTTGGCCTTTGGCTGAAAGTTGAAGCTGTCACTGCTGCTGCCCAACAGTAAGTTGTAAAACTAGCAATTAATCCTGTCAGAATCCCAAACGCAACCCTAGTTACAGTTCGTTTGCCATAACCACTCCTGCTAACGACAACCATGCGGCAGCTGGGCTGCACAGACACTGCAGAAAGTCACAACTTAAAGATTACTGAGTGTAAAACATAAAACATAACATTCCACATGATCCAGAGGTTTGGAGACTCATCCAGCACCACTGGTCAACTTGTTCGTTTGCACATAAACAGGCTGTAAGAGACACATCATTCTGCCACTAACATGCATTCAACCTGATTAATGTTGTGATAAAATATGTATGAATCCTGTTCTGACCTCCTTAAAGCAGCGGCAGCGTCTCCGGTACTACACGTGGCGTGCTACTCGAAAAGGCTGAGAGTGTGAGGTGTGTGAGGAATGGACCCCAGTGCTGGAAAATCTTTGCAGGGATTTAGTGTTGATTAACCTCAGTCTTTCTATCTGTATGGTCAAGACCATTTTGGCCACCCATGCTATAAATTAAAATTTTAAAATATAAAGTACACAATTACCAAGTCACAGCTCTGACATAAAAACCTGCCTCTAAAATCTTTTGTTTGAATTTAAGGATTTTTCTTTCCAAGTTAAAAATGGACTGAATCAGAGAAAGAGGCATCTACTTGAAATAAACACGATCTAGGAAGAAAATCAAGCTCTGTAGCTACGACCACTTTATTTTGAAGATTGTCTGAATACATATTGGACATAATCCACAGTAGAGAAGACAGCAGAAGGAGAAATCAACAAAGAAGGGAGACTTCCGACTGAATCCGGCTTTCTGCCTATGTTCGCTTCAGATGATTAATTCATTCAACTTTTCAGTCCTTTAAAAATATGAACTACTTGTTCTGAGTCATGGATTCTTTCTCTGCCCACTTCAATTATCTTCTCATCATTATATTTGCCATATTAGTCAATGACATGCTGCTGCGTCATGCTTTAAGATACGAGGCCGCAGACTATTTCCTTGTGAAAACTCCTGAGTGCAGTGAGGAACTGTGTTCCCTCTTCTCCTTTAGCCTTTGCTCCAGTAGCACAGAGACCAGCCAGAGTGGAAAAGGCAAATGTTCCCTCCCCTCCAGACTGGGAAATGTGTTTGTGTGTGGGAGGCAAGGCTGTGTGCGCCAGTGTGTGTCTGAGCAAGTGTGTCACTCATTCAGACTCGGTATCTGCATCGATGTGGAGTCCAGATTGTTTGGAAATGCAGCCTGATTCATCCTCTGCCTAATTTTTCCCTTAATCATGTCGGAATTAGTTTCATTGGCCCTCTGTGCTCTGGCGGTAATGACAGATGGGAGCAGGAGCTGGATTCCCAGCACTTTCATCCAACTGCTGCCTATTACTCCAGTAATAGACTGAATTTTCAGCTGCATGTACCCTGGGGCTAGGTCAGGAGGGCTGATGGAACCAGTGGAACCAGATGAATCAGGCCATTTGTTTTTTGTTTGATAGGGCCACACTTCATATAATGTAATGTGACTGTGCAGGAACACATTCAGAACCAGAACCAGAGCCAGAACCAGAACCAGAATGAGATTCACTGGCCGGGTGTGTTGGACACAAAGGAATCTCCTTTGTGACTCTGGTGCAGCGGCTCTCAGTGTGGATGTACTGTGCTCTTCTGTAAGGCAGCGAGTAGACAAGTAAACAAGATAAGAACAGAGAACAAGAAGAAGAATGTGCAAACAAGAAGAAGGAATGTAAAAATAAAGCACTTATAAGTATAGTTTCCCAAATAGATATAGACACAAGAGCATATTTCCAAGGGTTGTCGTTCTGTTACACAGTCATGGGTTAAGTGTTGATCAGAGCGACACCCCGGGGAAGAAACTGTCCTTGTGCCTGGTTGCCTTGGGGTACAGTGACCTGTAGCGCCATCCAGAGGGAAGGAGTTCAGACAGTTTGTGTCCAGGGTGTGAGGGGTCAGCAGAAATCTCCGCTGTCCTCCTTCTGACCCATGAGGTGTACAGGTCCTCCATGGAGGGCAGGCTGGCACCAATGGTTCTTCCTGCAGTCCTGATTGGTCACTGAGCCAAAGCAGACAGTGATGGATGATTCCTCTGTAGAACTGGATCAGCAGCTCCTGGGGCTTCCTGAAGTCCACTGTCATCTCCACTGGTTTTAGCACGTTCAGCTCCAGGTTGTTGCGACCGCACCACAGGACCAGCTGCTCAAGCTCCCGTCTGTCAGCCACATTGACACCACAATACATGACTTCATGAACCGATTAATCAACTGGGCACAAATATGACTTCAAACTAATAAACAACTGTTTGCTAACCTGTTAACAGATCTGTGCCAGAGGTGTGTCCAAAGCAGCGTCTTAATGCTGCTTTAAAATGTTGCATACATCACAAACACATCATCACATTAAATACTGCGCTGTGAGTCCGAGAAACAGGACTAATGCAGAGATTCGTTAGCTTGAGTGTTGATGAGCCACAAAAACTTCAGTGGACACATTCTGAATATTTAGAATTTCTTGCGCTGGGTCAGGACTGCTGCTGTCAGGCAGAGCTTATTGGTGCAGCTTATCTAAATCACACTGATACAAAACATGTTAAGACTTCCTCCTCAAACCAGTCTCTCAGGTTATTCACATGCAGGCCACAGTGAAAACCTTCATCCATGTCACCTATCCCTCAGACAAAAAGGAAAGATAAAATGAATTGATGTCAAATGATTTACATCATCTTCTTGCCTCACAACTGTTCTCTAACAAAGTATCTTCAAGTGTTTACATGTGACGTGGCTCCACAGAGCAGAGCAGTGTGGGAGTGAGGAGGAGCGGCAGGCGAGGTTACCTTGAACTCTTGTACCTTCAGACTCATGGAAATCCTTCCCTTGTCTGGGAAATTTAGGGCTTTTTCTAAATTCTCTGGCAGGACACGGGCTGCTTTCAGCCCTTGACTGCAAGATACAAAACCCATGACCGCAATTTTTCATAAGTAACTGCCTGTTCATAAAGGGTACGGGCTCTGTGACAGACATTTTACACGTTAGGCAGTTAGCTAACATTCTGAAAAAAACAATGTGGTTAAATTCCTGTATTACCAACATTATAAAACTGTTAAGAAATGCACGGGTGCAGAGCGGTGGTTTAAAAAGACAAGGCTGTAAATATTCTTTGTTTTTCTTAAATTTAATAATAATAATAAAAAACTAGCAGCGGCCTGATCCAGCTGACAGATATACGTACAGTATGTAAACCCTGATGCGTCTCTGAGCCACAGAGCTTCACTGTGTCCAGACACTATTAAAACCCATCAGTGACCAGTCCTTCGTCACCATGAACACACATACTGGAGTTTGTTTTGACTCAGCCCTGCACACGCACCCTGCTGCTGCCACAAACACTCACTAGAGACCAAATGTGGATTCATCCATAGCTGAAAATAGTCCCCAGCAAACGCACCGTTTCCTCCCGTTTCATTAGAAAAGTAACAAGACAGCTACAGAAAAGAATGTAAATGTTTTCCGGTTATGCTTTTATGTTGGTGTCTTATTTCCTGCCCAGTTTTACTTTTAGATCCCGCCATGCCTCCACACTGCTGTGTTTCCTGTCATTGTGCCTCCACCCTCCTCACCTGGTCCGCTGATGCTTAGCTACATTTAAGCCTTAGCTTCACCTTTGTCTAGTTGTCTAGATTGTCTACCTACCTGCCAGGCCAGGCTCATGTTTGCTTTGCTTTCTATGCCAGAGCCAGCTAACGTTTTGCTTGCTTTTTGCTCCACTGTCTCCACAAGCTAAGGATAAAGACTTTTGTTATGACTTTGTTGTCTCTCAGCCCCATTTTCAGCCTGATTAATGTTCACACCTTTTACCCAGTGAAGCCAGCTACTAATTTGGCACTGGACATTTTGTTAATAAAGGCTCCTCTAAACTGTTTGCTGTTTCCTGTCTGGTGCTCTGTGAGCCTTTCTCTGTACAAAGTCCTCCACCATCTATTCTTAGGACCAGTTTCTTGGCTCTTATCATTCTCAGTTGATAATATGGTCCATGTCCCCTGGTCACAGCTAATTTAGAGAACAAAGTGGTCATATAACTGTTTGACCCACAGTAAGCTGATTCACACATCCAGACACACAGACAAAAAGACAATCTGGTTGATCCACTGTCTTCCACTGAGGTTGTTTACTGGTACTTGTGTGTTATCTGCTTGTTGCTATGTGGTTTCTAGCACTCGGCCCTCACTCGCCCACACTAGTCCTCCAGAGCTAACTAGCACAAACTAACACACATAGACGACAGGACAGCGAGCGCAAGGTTATGGGAAAAAGGATGGTAGTGTCAGGCTCGCCAGTACAGGTCCATATCCTTACATAATACGTGTGTGTGTGTGTGCGCTGGGGAGTGAGTGCTGACAGAGTGGAAAGTGAATAGCCCGTTTTAATGCCCCTTTCAGTTACCTTGGTGCAGAGAGATGAGCTGAAATCCAGACTGTCAGGCCAGTGTGGACCATTTGAATTAAAATCCCTCCAGTTTGCAGGGTTACCTATTTCAGGGCAGGATGAATGGGGTCTGTTAATGATGTTAACCAGTGGTAGTGACCTGCAGCCCCTTCCTGACACGGACTCCTCTCCATTAATCTGACAGCATGTGAATGTGTCAGCTTCATGTCTAGACCAGCACCCTGGTCACTTTTCATAAACATCATGATGGAGATCTTACTAAGTCGAACCGAGTAACATTTACATATCACTTCAACACAGCACCAGTGTGATCTGCATGCAGTCACATTAACAAATAGGCACGTGCACAATGTACTGACATAAGATGTTACATAAACCAGTGACGACAGCTCTTACTTTAAAGCTGCATTAACTAACTTCTCCCTCTATATCTTGATCATTAAGGATAAAGTGAGAGTCAAAACAAACTCCACAGTACCCCCCCCTCCTCTTCTCTCCATCACATGTGGTCACGACAGCCAGAGACAGTTGTGGCAGTCGGGTAGCGCAGCACTAATAACCGGCTCTAGAGCTAATGTATAGGGAACACAGAGCCCATAGAGCTCATGGTTTTTGGTGGTACCAATTAGCCAGCTACAGTATTTAACGTCTAGCGGGAAGAAAGACACATCTGGTCAAATGTTAGTCCTTTGGATGCGTTTAGTGCTCTCCATCTCCGACATGCCAAACAGATGTTAACCCCGGTTTTGCCCCGTTCTTTGTCGCCCTCTTTCTCTGCTACAGAACGCGGCCTCTTGGGTCTAACAGCTCCACTCCCATCTGGGTTGGACCTGCACTGGGAGCCTCCACGGTCTGTCTTTGAAATGAGTCATAGTGGTTTGAAAAAGGCAACTTATAACCCTGGATCAGTGGGGGGGTGGAAGAAGTGGCCACAGAGGGCGAGAAATAAAGACAAGGCCTGAAGACGGCAGAGTGGGGTGGAGGGGTTAGTACAGCATGGAGACAACACATCTAGACATTTTTTTACTTGCTTCCCCCAAATTAGTGTTGAATCTTAGTTAATGCAGCTTTAACGTTGCTGTATAAAGTAAATACAGACAGTTCAACAGATTACAGGGCACAAAACACTAAATACAATAGAGGTTCAGGTAATAGAGGTTCAAAGCTCTGACTGTTCAGTTCAGTGGACACCTCCCGTTTTATAAAACTCCTCAGAAAAAGTGGCCTTCAAACACAAAATCAAACAGCTTATCCCCCCTCACACTGGAACTTTTCTTATTTCAGTGATCTACAGCAGGTGAGTCACTAAACTTTGGAGATTTTCAGCACAGCTTATCTACTTCATCTCTGCAGATAAACTCAGCCAACCATTTAGTCTCATTAATTCTGGGACTGATACAGTAAACACACTTTTATTACAGCACAGAGCTGTAACTGGAGAGGAATATTTGCTCACTTTTAATAAACGCTCTCTTAAAATCCTAAGGTTTTCGAGAAGCAACAGGGAGCGGTGATGGCTGAATATTCATGCATGCAAATCAGATGTCTCCTCTGAGAAGATCTAATACCCCTGATTTGACTGTGGCTTTATCAGTGAACCCACTGTCAAAAGGTAGAGTTTCCTTTTTTAATCAATCAGCCTTTTTATTAGACATCTCTCTTTCTTTTGCTTTCTTTTCCCTGTCTTCATTCTGAAGTGACAGACACTTTAATGCTCTGAGCAGTCTTCTCCCTGCCTCACGAAAGCAATGACACTATTCAGCTCTGACCTTTTTTCTCTGTTGGCGCCACGCTATCTCTGACAATGGAACAGGATGAGGTTAATACAAGTTTGGCGGTAGGAAAAGTATATTGGGAAAGGTTCGAACGCTTCTCTTTTTCACTGCCTATTTTTTTCCTCTTTCTTCATTGTTCTCTTGTTGCACAAAAGGGCCTTTCAGCGTCCACATGTGAAGAAAATTGAAAAATCAGGGAATAGCGTGGATCACGGCGGAGGAGGCCTGTTTTCTCTATATGCCTAAGACATGAACGAGACAACACGGCAGTTTGTGATGTGTGTGTGTTGCTGGTTTTACATGAATGTGACAAATATGAATTCACATATTGTATTATAATATAGGCCCTACTGTATATGTGCACGTGCACAGGTGTAGTTCATTCCGGTGGTGGTGAAAACCCCATCTTCACTGAGATTTTACTGGAAAACCTGCTGGGATTTCACCGGGGGTCCTCTCTGGTTGTTGTTAGTTCACATGTCAACAGATTTCTGTTTGAACTCCTCCCCTCTGGACGGCGCTACAGGTCACTGTACGCCATAACACCAGACACAAGGACACACTGTTTATTCTCATTGTATTGCTCTGTTTTTATTTTTATTCTCATTGTTATTTTCTGTTCCTGTTGCCTTGCACTGCACCGAGAGTCTCTGTACCACAGTCACATTCCTGTATGTTCAAACATATTTGGCCATTAAAGATGATTCTGACTTTTCCCAAGTCTCAACTGAATAAAGATTTTAGGAAAGTTCAGTAAGGATGGTTTTCTCTTGTGCCTATTGAACTATTTTATCTTTATGAACCAAAACAGTTCTATTGTGCTCTGAAATAAATGTTTACTTAGTGCAGTCACTTTAATTTAATGTAGAGGTTTGATGAATTTTACAAAAACAAGAAGCGCTGGCTTTGGTTAAGGGTGGGATAAGGGGCAGTGTTAGACAAGTAGTGGGTATGTATAAGGTTGTAGTCTCCTGGAAATGAATGAGTATGGTAGGACCCATAAATGGCAAAACCCCGTGTGTGAGTGTGTGTGTGTGTGTGTGTGCGTGTGCGTGTGCATGCACGTGCTGACACCGTCCAGAAAGCGTGAAAATCAGACTTCTTGTCCTTCTTGTCATACCTGGAGTCAGACTTCTCAGCTGGGGTTATGTACAGAAGACTGAAAGGTGGACATGAAGAGGCTCAGTGGCGCCACCTGTTGAAACCAAACACACAGATATTGTGCTTAGTGTTCATTGAAGAAACAACTTGTGCTATTAGTAACATTTTAAGGCTCTGGCCTGCGTTCTGAGCTTCTTCTTACTATAGCTATAGTTTCCTGTTCCATATATGATCATGACTGTTAATAATTTAAGGTGAAAGCACAACAAACTATCGACTGAATCCAAAATGTTTGATTTTAAACCTTTGCTTATGCACCAACACATTGTTACTTTTGCTGCTGATTATGTTATAGTTCTCAACATCACCATCAAATTTCTAGTTTATTATCAGCTTGCTCTCTCTCTCTCTCTCTCTCTCTCTCTCTTTAAAACACATTTTAGGTTGAAAATGAGCTTTTGGAAACAATGAAAGAATGTTTGGATGAATGATATCTGAGGTTGCTCTTGTAATTATAAAATAAGTATGGAATGCAGGACGTTTAATGATTTGTTTTGACATCATGGTCACACCATGGTGCGACTATTTTATCTTTATCTGTCTGTAGGAAAAGTCGAGATGTTTCCTGTCAGAACTACTGAAAAGTAGGCGTTTGAAATTTCCTTTCAAATCTCATTTCAAAGTTTTTCTCTATTTTTTCAATTTTACACATAAGAAGGGTGTAAAACGAAAGTCCATTCCATCTGAAGTGACAACCCAACTCGAAAATGACCGATCACATAAAATTGAAACAAATGGCAGTAAATCTGGAAGGATGGAGGGTAACTCAACTCAGAGCTTGACATAATGATAACGCCTCCACAGAGACAGTAAATCATGAACATAAGGTAGCGTTTTTTTTCCTCTTAAAATGGCATACAGCAATTTTTGAAACATATTTCATGAATGTCTTGGGGTAGAAAAGAGACGCGATTACGGAGACCTTCACATATTTGCAGCACCACTCTCAGCCAGTAAGTGCAGAGCACTGGATGTACCCGTGTCTGTATGCCACAACAGGCTGCTTTCTGAGAATCTGCTCTCTGAACTTCCCAGTATCTGACCAGAGCTGCACTGGCTTCTATAAATACTCACTTGGCTGATTGGAGCTGCTTTCCTCTGAATTATTTACAGACACAGGCAGATAAACACCGATGACCAGATTATCTCTGACACTGAGTTCTACACTAATATTCATAAGTGAACACAATTCATAAAATAAAATAGAACAGCTTCGTTTCATAAGTTTTCTAAGATCAGCAACAAGTCTGAGTGATGTCGGTGTGTTTCTGAGGTTTGTTTCCTAAAGAAAAAGTCTGGAGATATTCTATATTTTCTTCTTGTCAACAGTGAATGCATCCTACTGAGTGCTGTGTATACATCCATCCATTATCGACATAACGAGGGGGCTGGAGCCAATCCCAGCTGACACTGGGCGAGAGGCGGGTCCACCCTGATCGCCAGTCTGTCACAGGGCTGACAAGTAGACAAACAACCACACACACACTCACTACTACGGGCAGTTTAGAGTCACCAGTCAACTTAATCTGTTTCACTAAGTTCTGCCTTAGATTACAACTTGACACTTTACACAGTGAATAAAGTTGTAAAATCATTAATAATGTGGCTTGTTCTCATAAACATCACGTTTTCATGACTACCTCTAATTGCTCATTATTTATTCAGTGTGGCAGAAAACTAACCATCACTTGGAAGAAAAAAGTCATTGCCTTAGTGTTGTACAATTTAACTAAATGAAACCAACCAAACCAACTAACATTCTATTTAATATCACTTCAGAGTATATTAAAGCTGGGAGCCATTCAAACTCAAACCAAACAAAATCATCTTTCTCATCTGAATGTTGGCTTTTTATAAACTTTTAATAATGTTGCAGGTAAATTAAAAGCTTATTAAGCCGCCAGATTTTCATTAGGAAAAGTCATTAAACTTCCATCAAGCTCCTGTTTTCATAACTGCGAGTTCCACCTTAAATTAAAGAAAGAAAATTAATGTGTTTTTAGTCAATGTGTGTACCTGCTGAATATGTGTAGCATGTAGCAGGCAATGCTGCAAAATGTGACAAGCATCCTGTTGATCTATAACACTATTACCCATACAGTTTGATAAACCATGGGACACAAGTATCACTGCTGTATATTACATAAACAACAATATCAGTTTTATGCTTGTGAATTTACTAAGTCTAAGGCACAACTCTAAACTCTAAATCATAGAACCTAAATCTGCTTTGACTCCGATACAAACTGATAACTAATTCTAAGTCATTAAAAACGTACTCTAACTGAGAATCCATTTCCATAGAACTGGAGGTAATTAGGATAAACAGATTTTAAAAAAAAAGAGATGGTAAAAACTAATGTAGGCTGAGACACTCTGACCTTTAGTCCCAGTGTGGGTCAGAACTGTTGGAAACTACATTTCCCATAATGCCACCAAACCCTTGCTGCCTGGTTATTGCCCAGGTTACTTTCTGATCTTCCTGGATCAACTACTTCTGACCGCATACAGTACCATAAAGCAGAACCAGGCGGTGTTGTACCTAGAACTCACCACTAGAGGGCAGCACGCCCTCACACAGATCACCTCATGGACTACTGCTGCTGCTGATTACTGTTATTGTTGTGCTTGTACTTTAGCTGTTCATGTATTTATTTTGTTTTATGTGTTTCACAGTGGTGTGTGCATGTAGTCTGCCGTGCACACGTTTTATAAATACTGAGGGAGGAATAAATCTGTTCAATTAGAATGGAATGAATCTAGTTTTGCATTTAATTCCAGCTCAGCTGACAACAGCACTACTGCAGTTAGGGTCATGATTTACTCTGAGTTGAGTGTCCTAACATAAAATGTGGACAAGAATATTACAAGTCACAACTGCAGTACAATAAAGCTCAAGATAAAGGAGGCCATAGTTACTCTTTGATACTACAGCTGCTGCACACGCCTCAGTGCTGTCTTAGTATTTCTGCACACACACTTTGAACGTGTGTCTCAGTTTTCTCTTAAATAGAAGCTGCGAGTGCTGTTAGATATACACACAGGGATCTGCAAGAACCCCCAGTGCTGTCAGTTAAAAAGAAATGTATTGCTGGCCTATTCTGCAGGACAGAAATGCATAATGTTAGGTATTTTTAGTCAGATAGAAATTGGTTAGATACTTTATGTATTAGAAATGTTTAGTGGAGATAGGATGTCTAGTTAGACTGTTAAATGCTTAGTCATGCTTATGAGTTTCTACAGGGTACATCTGGTCAAGGATAACTAGAGAGAAGAGTTGATGACTGTCAGCAGACAGGGTGTTTAATATTATTATTATGACGTGTAGAACTGTAGCCTTAGCCATAATATGTTCTTATGTTTAAGACACGACATGTTCTAGAGGTTGTGAGAATGTTTTTAGTTACACACCACTTAATCAACAGACACACACACACATTGATTTGCTTCATGTTTTGACTACTGCTATGACCAGCTGCAAAGCTGGTAACAGAGACGTCTTGGTTGACGTTTCTGTGTAGTATGGGGCTAGCCCAACCGAGGGGATATAATGTATAGGCCTGGTGGGTTCAGGGTCTTTCATCTTACATCTGCCTGCGAGCAGTTTGGAGGTGCAAGATACCTGAGCGTGTAATGTTAATTTTACCTGTGATCCTTTGAATAAATCAGCACTGTTTTGAAGTTACTTGGACTGTCTCGTCTCTCAGAGTCCGTATGGTAAAAAGTACCAGGTACAACAATAAGAATGTGTATTTAACAAGTCATCAAGTTCATGTTTTCTCAAACACAACTGTGTAACCATGTGTATGCAGGGAGAGGTGCAGGAAGGTGGTGAACCCTGGTGTGAAGGTGTGACCTGCTGGCCTGACACTTTTCTAAGCTGTAGTAGATATTGTTGTTACTTTTCACTCTGGTAAAGTAGAACAAGGAAATGAAACAAGACTTTTTTACAGTAACTCAAAGTCAGACACAGCATGAGCACGTGAAGGTGGGAAAGATGTGTGGAGTTCCAAGAAAAAGCAACTGATGTCCACTCTGCTTTCAGCTCAGAGCCAGGACCATCCAGTGAAATCCTGGGATGTTCACGTGTGGCACGACAGACAGAAAACATGACAGTGTTCCTCACTAGCTCCCTCCTGTGGCTATTCTTGCTATAGCTCATATTACACTTTGCAGAGATGAGAGGGCCCACGTGAGGTTAATTTGATCACATCTGCGAGGGTCTGCAAGATGTCTGTGTGCAGCAAAAACGTAAAAGACTCCCACGGTAACAGCTTTAATGCCCATTCTGGAGTATATCTGGACCTGGGTAGCAACAATAAATGATGGTGTAAAGAAGAACAGAAAGCATTTAAACTGACAGTGTTGAAATCAAACGTAATACTGTTTTAAACACCAGAAACCACAGCTGGTGCCTGGTCTCCTGCACATTTTACTGAGATTACGACTGAAAGAAAGTCACTTTTGGCTTTTCCCGTTTTTTTAGAGGTCACCACAGCGAATTGTCACACTGACGACTCGCATGTTGACATTTGGCACGTGTTTTACGCCGGATGCCCTTCCTGACGCAACCCTGATTCGAACCCGGGCCACAGCGGCCAGAGCACTGCGCCTTAACCACTAGCCTAATCTCATTTTACTGAGATTAAGACTAAATCTGAAAAATACAGGAGAATCTCACGGTGTCCAACTCTTGCATTTGGTGGAGCAATTAGAACTTGCAGAAGAAACTGAACGCTCAGTGAGAAGCTGCCACAACTGCTGGCAACCAGCCACCTCAGCAAGCCGCTGGACAGGGTAATGAATCTGTGAGCAACTTGATGGCAGATGAAGCGACGCTCAGGACAAGACCTAACAAGCTCCGTGAGGACTTTTGCCACAGAGAAACTGTTACAACATTAAACCAAGCGTTTGCTACAATGCACTGGGGGAATCAGAGGTGTTGTACATGTGCAACACACTGATGTGAACAGTTAGACTTTCACAACCCTCTCTGACATCCTGCCATACATCACAGCACAGCTGAATCCTCCT